AGTCATAATGCGATAGACATAGTAGACCAATAAAGCAATTCTCATACCATACCCTGGTCTACACATGAGCATTACAATTGCCACATAATTCCCCACATTCGGGAAAATATAGAGAGCTAGGTATGAGACCCAAAAAAGCATGTTAAGCATCATAGTGAATAGGTACCCTCTACAATACAAGATTGTAATTCTGACCTCTCTCAGTACTTTCTTGCCCTACGTTGGGCACCAAAAATATGTTCTGGTTTGAAAGCAAAACCAGTGAGAGACTCCAAGTCAGAAATACAATTTATTGGGAAAAGGGGAAAAGGACAAAAAATACATGCAATAATACAAAGGGAAAGACTACTGACAAAGTCAGAATACAACCTGGCCAGCGTGCTGGTAGCAGTCCAAATTGGAGTAGCTGCAGTCCTTTGGGATGGCAGATGTAGTTGCTGTGTCTTCTCGGAGAACCTGTGAAAAGGCTGACCCTCTGTCTAGAAATCCCCAGTTTTATCCAGGTTGGAATGCCTAGCTCCTCCCCCCTGGGCAGAGCATCTTACAATGGGTCATTATGAGTCACGAGGTGTGTCCTTAATCACCTGCTCCGGGACAGTGTTATCTCTGAGTCATGTGGCAAGGCATTGATGGGGCTATTAACAGCAGATAAGGAAAACTGCCTCAAGGCAACTCCTACTCAGGTGGTAAATAGGAAAACGTTCTTTTTTAATCTTGGACAGCTTCTCATCATCATCACTGTCCTTTGAACAACCCCGTAGGTTGCACATGCACCCCAAGTCTTGTGTTATAAAAGCCAGCATTATATTCCAAAAAGAAGCCTTATTATTTCATAGATACCTGGAATCATCTCAATTTTGTCCATTTCAAGGCAGATTCCTTAATTATCCTTTGGCCTATTCCATTTTGGGTTTTACTTATCTCAAACTCCATCTTGTATCCTATTTTCTCATGAACATTTGAAAACATCTGTTTTGTGACACTAATTACATATCCTTTTCCTCTATTATTTTTAAACAAATATTTTCTAAAACATTGATCTAGTTACAATTGTTATCATTAATCATATTCATTTATTACACTGTTTTATTCTCATAATTTTTCCAAGGTTCTTCTTTCTCCATATTCTTCTTGATGAAGAAAACAGAAGTTAACTCTATCAGCATAAAAATTGTAAACCATATTATGCTTAGTATCTCTTTCCACTTTGCTAATTATACTCATGTACCTGAATTTTATCTGAATTGCTTGTGCATGAGTTGTATTTGTTTATTATGGCATATGTGGTAACATATAGCTTGTAATCTGCTCAGAAAAACGTCTGTTGGGTGGGTGTCAGGCTACAAGGATGTAAACATAGAAGGATTAAAATATTAGGTGATGTTTAGAGATTGATTTCAGAGGTGAAACTCCTATGGGTTCCTCTAGGGACAAGTATTCTCTGCGATGAGCACGGGACTAAATACACCTGGGTAGATACCTGGGCAGAAGGAGGTGCAGGGGAGCAGATGTCTTAAATTTCTCTTGAGCTTTCTGGTCAGGCTGATTGCTACTCGAACACACCAACACACTCTGCCTGCAATGTTCTGAGTAGCACCGACAGCGAGACAAATGGGGCAGCTGAAGATGTGCTTATGCATTTTTCAGTGTAAGCAATTAATCTTTGATGCTCTTGTCCTGTTGCAAACCGTTCTTTGGATCCCTATTATTTAATTGTTAAAATTTTGACAAAATACTGTTCCTCCCATTTTTTAATTAATTTTCCCTTCCTCTTCCTCCTCCTCCTCCTCCTTCCTTTACTCTCATTTTTTTCCAAACAACCAGGTTTTATCAGGTCTTTCTGCCTCTTCCTGCACATTCAAATCGGCAACAGTCACTGGGAGAGACGGGGTGGGGCGCAAGGGGCGAAATAGACAGGGGTAAAGTACATGAATGTCTGGGAGATGATTCTTGTGGCCGAGATGCCCAGAACAGAACGTGCAAGGATTGTGCGAGGCACAAGGGGAGTGCAAACCAGCAAACTCCCCTTGTCCAGATGTGGAGTTGTGTTTTTTATGTTTTATTACATTTGTATTATGTATAGGTTTGTTCCATGTACCCCCAGTTCTGTAATGGTTTCTCCCCGGGTTTTCCCGCCTTGCCCCCGCCTGTCCATTATCCCCAAAAGTGCTAAGTCATCCCCCTGTTTACCCCAGATGCCTGTCCGTCACTCGGTGTTCCTTCCCATCCACCTAGAATCTTCCATCCAGGACGCCGGGTGATTGGTAGAGGACCTGGGACCCTTCCCCTGTCTATCCTTCATTGGATGTACCCCCGTATCCCACCACCCTCAAACCACTCCGCAGTTTTACCCCATTGGCTGTTTGGTTTTCCCCCATTCCGTATTTAGTTCGTTTGCGCGGTTCGTTTCGTGCTTTCTTCTGGCTGGCTCCAGCGCGTTCCGCCTTGCCTGCGCCTTTCCAGCAAACACTGGCGCGGCACGCCTGGTCCCCTTCGAGTTATTGTATTCCCCGTTGGATTACAATAAACGGAATTCGCCCCCAGAGAAAGACTCTCCTCGTAATTCGCCGTGGGGTCACTGGCTGCTCTTTGGAACTCCGATAGCGCTTCCCAAAGCCCGCGAAGGTCCAGCGGGAAGTGCTAGAAACCTGCCCGCACCTCTCCCCAGAAGAGCTAGCCGGGGCTGAGGAAGGGCGTCGGGGAGAGAAGCATCGGCATCCAGAGAAGCTGCAAATCCTCCTTGCTGATCGGCCCGGATCTGCAGCTTCGGACTGACCCCTCAAGGCTCCGTCCCGCACAGGCAAACCGACCCAGCCTAGAGCAAAGTTTGTACAGCCTCCATGGCCCGTGTCCACGGAGCTTCCTCGGCATCCGGGCACACAGCCATCTCCCCGGGCCCCACGGCGCGGGGCTGCCGCCGGGAGCTGCCCGCCTCCCCGCGTTCCCCCATATGGCTCGCACCTTGTGAGGGCGGCCCAGCGGCCCTGCCCTGCCGGCCACAGCCCCGCAGCCGAGCGCCCCGGGAAAGCCTGCAGAGCAAAGGGCCCTGCGGGCTCTGGAGCGAGGGGAAACCTCAACAGGAGGAACAGCGGTGAGAGCGCCAACGGGAGCGACGCCGGCTGGGAGGCACCGGGAGAGCACCACGGTCGGGCAGGGAGGTGATGTTCACTGTAGGAAGTGCAGTCTATATGAGGGACCCCGCGCTGAAGCAGAGAAACAGTGAGGAGGAAGGAATGGCTGAAAGGAGCGGTTCAGGACTGACCTGAATCCGCTTCCTTCCTTCCCACTGGGCTACTCAAAGAGAGGAGGTGAAAGAGTTGGGAATGAAGACGAGCCTGAGAAAAAGGAAGAACAAGGGGATGGTTAATTTTTGGTTTTGTTTCTCACTATCAAAGGCTGTTTTAATGGACGACAAATATTAGGCATCTATTTTAATAGCAACAAATCAAATTATTTTCCCCAAGTCAAATCCATTTTGCCCTGTCCTGGTTCCAGCTAGAAGAACTGCAATTTTTGCAATAACCAGGAGGGGACATGTCCAGGATACTGATGTAATTCTGTACCACCACATCATTGCCAGGTACAGAGGAAGCACAGCAATGAGAACAAAGACATATAGGACTCCTTGCTAGCTCCGAAGATGTTTTGTTGTAAGGAGCCAAGCATTTTTATACTTGAAACTTAACCAAAACTTAATCAAAATAAGCACTCACTGACTGACTGGCACTGCGGTGTCGTCGTTCACACATCCCTTTACCCAATCAGCTCTCTTGATGCAGTGCTGGGGTCCGCCCGCTGGTCTGTTCCCAGAAAGCAGTGCAGTCTAGGAGACAGCTGTAGGGTTTAAGCTGTATGCTCAGTGTTGAAGGCAGGGACAAGGATGAAGGAGAGTTTTTTTGTATAGGTTCCAAAGAGGCTTATTCTATGGAGGGTCCAGGGACAAAATATGCAGAACACAGGTGTGCAGGGGTTATTCTACAGCGCATGTCTCAGGGGAGGATACAAATTTTTAGTCAATAGGGAAAGGGATGGAGAAGAGCATTAGGCGGGGTTCACAACACTGGGTTAACAGGGCCAATGGATTAACACAGGGGAGGGGAATAGTTCAAATCAATGGCCAATGGGGCTTTGAGTATGAGGGGATTTCCAGAGCAGGGGCAGGCAGGTGGGATTGACAACTCAGAAGGAGGAGGGCAGAGAACGTTCTACAACAGCAAAATCTTAGGGTAAGATTGACAACTAGCTGGAAGGGCACAACTCAGACTAAACCAACAATGCAGAGGGGGGAAAGGAACAAACCACTGGGGATAAAAACACATCACAACACTCTCTGATCGCGTGGTGTCCATGTGTATCCCAAATTGATTGTTGCCTCACACAAGAGGTGACTATCAACCCACTCATCCTGATGCCGTGATAAGTTTGACCAAGAACAGAGATAAAGTAGGCATTTACTAAAAGGCCTTAATAGATACATTTTATTTCATTGAGCAGTACAAGAGCCTGGCCAAAATGAACCCAAAATAGTCACAAAATAGACGACTAATCACAAACTTCCACAGTTTTATAAGTTTTAGTCTATCTGTATAATGGAGCTAATTGTCCGGTTATACCCCAGGTTATGAAGATCCATTCTCCTTGTTTTTCTCTCTTCAATTCACCACTGTTTTTACTTTTTGTACTTCAAACTTGTACCAGTTGTCCTTGGTCTCAAGTTGGAAAAGGATTTTTCTGTCTCCTAGTGTGTGAACAGAACTTGCCAACACTTAACATGAAGCTCAGAGCTACACACTAAAGCAGCACAGAATCTGAAATATATGAAAGATAAAACTTAAGGCATCATTTCCCCCCTTTAGAGCTCAACAAGGCCTTTACCTTTACCTGCAGCTGAACCTTTCCCAGAGTGTGTTTTGGTGAAAAAAATTGAACAGAAGTGAACAGGATTTAACAAAGGTGAGAAAGATCCTTATTCCATAAGGCTTTTCTTTTTTTCCCCACAGGGAAGGGGGTCTTTTCTGAAGAGGACCCTTCCAGGGTCAGCAGAAGAATGGGTCAGGTATTGTTTCTATGTGAATCTTTGCTTCTTTCTTGTACTGTCAGTCATTAGTGTTGTTCCAGTTACTGTTGTTTTCATATCATTGCTGTTTGCAGTCAATTGTTCATATCTCAATCTGTAATACTTGCCCTCTGTGCCTTCTCTCCTCTCCATCAAGCTGCAGAAGGAGGAGGAAGGAGGGAGTGAGCAAGCAGCATGTGGTTTGGAGTCTCAGCGGGAGCACTAAATTGGGAACTGCTGTTCCTTAACTACAAGGTGACCCTGATGATAGGCAGTAAGTGATCTCCCTGTCTTTCTCACAGCACACGTGCTTTTTCACCTCATGTTCTTCCTGCATCACAATGGGTATCCCACAGCCAGCCAAAGTCAGCCTCCCTCCTTGCCTACTCAGGTCCTTGTCTCATCCCATCACAAAGAATGACAGATAGTGGCCCCCCTCCCTCCGCCCTCCCACCCCCCCCCCCAGTATCAGAGCCCACTGCTCCTCTAACACAGGGAAGATTTCCACAACTTAAAGAATCATAGTAGTTTTATTGAAGTAAGATACTGTGAAAGTGAAACTTATCAAATGGTTGTTTAACAATAGGTTCATTCTTTTATTTACTGTACAGAAGATAGAGTAATGATTCAAAGTTACCAGTGCTAGAGAAGGCCAGAGGCTGCCTTGGAATAGAGAATGTAAACCAGCTCCCTCCAAATTATTAAGATTTTGAAATTAAGGGGCTCTCAGGCAAAGATATGAGGATAGGGATAACAGTTCTATACTAGTATATATAAGAAGGTGAAAAGAACAATAACTATGGCACTAACAACAACCAGAACCAAGGCTCCAGTAAAGTGTCTTGGCCACTGACACTTTCCCTTTTGGTCCAGTTACTGTTACAGCTGATGGGAATGAGCAAAAATCCAGGCTGGTGGGCAAGATACATCAGAAACTCCACAGTGGTAGCTGGAACTGCAGGACAGTGCTGGCTACAGCATGGACAAGCCAGAGCAGTGCCGAAGGAACAGCAGGAGTGAGCAGCAGTGGCCCAGCTCCGAGCAGGGCAGGGAGAGGGGAAGTTCAGGATTCCTGGGGCATATCAAGCAGATGGTGATAGGTCCCTCAGGGCTGAGCTCCAGAGGTGCTGGTGAATTCTCCTTGCAGTAAGCAACAGCCTGGCTGTCCTCCTCCAATGCCAAAGAGTGAGAGACCCAGCTGCCCCCACCCCCATCCTTTACCTGCCCCCCATTCCCAAAGTGTCTCTGTCCTTCAGAGAGAAACTCTGAGAAAAAAAGAGTATAGATGCTCCATTCCTCTCCCGACTTCAGACACAGTCTTCTTCTTAAGTACCCATAAGCATCCATAAGTACCCAGTAGTTAGCTTCCTAGCAACTTATGGGAAAAAAATTCTCTAAATAAAAGAAAAAAGAAAGAAACCCAACTCCCAGTACCAATGCAGTTGGTAAAGGGTGTTTCAACCTTGAGAAGCAATCCTGAGAGGTATCCTAGCTCCAGTGGAGATCACCCTAATGCCACTAGCTGCCTAGTAGGCAGACAGATCAGAGAAGGCTCACATAAGCTGTCTTATTTATGGGATAAAGCAGTTGGCTCACAGTCAAATTACAAGCAATGGAAAAGGTAAAAGTGAGAATCCTTGTACCAACAACCTCCTTTGTTCCTTGACAAATGAGTCTGCTGTTCCTGTGTTAATCACATATTTCCAGTTCCAGTTTCCAAATTTATAGCATTAATGCTCACCATGTCACCCTTTTCCTGCATGGACCACCAGAGAACAAGTTGGAACTAGAGAAGTTTTAACCTGGTCATGGTCTAGACCTTTGCTTCCTTTGGTGCCTGAACCGAAGTACCATTAGTTTGGCAAGAGGCTGGGTCCATACATCACACCTAGCTCTGGAGGAGCCCCTGCACCTTTGAGTCAGGGCACGCAGAGATGACATTTCATTTTATCTTTTGTGAGTCACTGAACAGCAGGAATGTGGCAAGGCCACATCTCAGTTAATTTTTTGGCATTTTAACCCACATCCCCTTTGACTACCCTACACTCACTCTTCTGGAACTTCCAACAATCCTGAAAGAAGCTGCAGGCTGCTCCACCCACCTCATCAGTGTGCCATCAGTGCAGCCAGATACTAGCATCCCATCAGCTCTCTGTTCTCAGTCAATTCCCAAGTCCTCTGCCCTGGCAACAGCAGTGACTAACTACCATAGAGTAGTCCTCCTGGGGAAAAAGACAGATCCCCCACGGACTTCCCCTGGTTTCTCCTTTCCTTGTTCCCTTGGATACCCCTGGTGGCTGCGCCTTGCCCAGCCTCAGCTCCACCCTCACCCATTCCCCTTAAGCTTCCTGCCCTGGGTGGTTTTTTCTTTCTCGCCGAGTTACCTTCAGTTTCATGGGACCTTACAATAAAACCTTGCAAAAAGAGCCTTTCTTGCCTCTCTCGCTGAGCCAGCTGTGGTGAGTGTGGTGTGGGGATATGACTGCATTGCCTGAATGTTTACCCAGCCTGCTTTTCTACAGGAGAAGTTTGTTGGGAACAGATACTAGGCAGCAGCACCCGCCATCCATCTTCCAGATTTTTACCAGATGGCATAGGGTTTGTGCCTTGGCCACCCAGGGCCACAGCCAGCTCCCCTCTCCTCACTTGCCTGGGAGGTTTCTTGAGGTGCCAGGAGGGAAAGGGGGCACAGCCACCAGTGGGGAAGCAAGACAACTGTGCCAGGAGGCGCAGAGGAGAAGTTGGAGAAGTTGGCTGGTGCTCTTGAACCTTGGCTGAAACAGCTCTGAAGTCTTCCTCTCCACTGGGCTTGGTGTGCATTCTTGCCAGCTCACAAGTCTGCTGCCCTGTCACACATACATACAGTATGGGCAGAATAAGTGTAACTTTATGACTTCTACATTCTCAAGAGAGAGAAAGCAGGACTTAAAGCAAAAAGCTGCTCTTTTGACATCATATATACTTTTTCTCCCACTCATGGCCTACTGAATGCATCCCATCTATCAATGACACACAGCTATTTTTACTTGAAATTGCCCCATACGTGCACACCTTCACAATTACATGCCCCATAACACCTACACAGTCTGCATAAGTACTATTAAAGCTCATTTCCTGATGTCCTCATATTCATTTCCAAAGAACTTTTCTTTCACCCAGATTCTTTTTGCAATAAAGCACTTTCCCAACTTTCCCCAGATTCCTCACATGCACCTCTTCTTCGCTTTTTGTGTTTCCCAGTTGCCACTCTCCAAACCTCTGCATTCAGCTTGTACTCAACAGCAGCAAGAGCTGCCACTGATATGTGCTATCGAGCGCAAATTTGTGGATTCTGGAAGTGATTAAGATTTGCTGCTACACAGGCAGCTTGCCTAGCAATCACCTTCACTATTCTGCCTCTGCATGAAAACTACGCTGAAGTTCTGAAATATAGATTGTCACTGGGAAGCAGACTTTAGTCAGGAGCTTTTATTTGAAAATAACTTCTTATTTTGAATTCTTCTAGTAAGTTTTACACATTGGCAGTTCAAATTAAAACTTTTGTTCAGTAGGATGAAGAAAAAAGTGACAAAAGCATGAAAGACTGATTAGTAAGGGAGTGCGTTTGCTCACAATTGGAGAGAAATGGTTTGAACCTGCTGGGCACAGGGTGAAGTTATGGGAAGTTTCTTAAGCTTTACTTAACCCACATGATGAGATATACAGTGCCAGTGATTAACTAGTGGAAATCATAGAAAATGCTGAAGCAAAACAACTTCAGTACTGGTACAGGTTCCCCAAGAAGGCTGTGGATTTCCCATCCTTTCAGGTGTTCAAGACCAGGCTGGACAGTGCTTTGAGCAACCCAAGCTGGTGGAAGGTGTCCCATGCCATGACAGGGGCATTGGAAGTACATAATCTTTAATATCCCTTACAAACCATCCTATAGATTCTATCATAAAACCCCTGTAATTCACCACAGCCTTGACCACTTCCCCTGCTTTCTCAGTCAAGTAGAAGAAGACTTACAAGAATATATGCAATTTTCATTGGTATTATCCTTAACTAGATGAAATGCTAAGAGGTCAATTATTTCCAGCAAAAACTTGTGTCAGCAGCTGGTAATTCCCATACAGTTAGGGGCTTCTCAAGTAGTCTCAAAATAGTTTGAATTTTTCTTTGCAGTCATGGAGAGCAGAGGAAATTCAGTGTGGTCATCATGGCAGCGTTTTTCCTAAATGTATTTAGGGGGCACCAGTGAAAAATTATTTGTATTAACATGTCTGGAATTTATTCTTGTCTCGTCATGGAGCAGTATTTTAATTTATTTTGTCTCCTGCATTCCCACATAACAGTGTTTCCTGATCCATAAGTTGTTAACTGATCACTGGCACTGTAATCTTGCCACAATACTGTTACTCTACAAATAATTATTTGCATGGACTGGGGATCCCATGCTTTTTCTTATGTACAAGTTAATACAGTTTGCTAATACTATTGGATATTCTGCATGTCACCTCCAAATAATCAAGGTGACTAATGTTGTATCTAAAGCAAAGGAGTTGGAGTCTATGATTCTGATGGGTCCCTTCTAACTCAGCGTATTCAGTGATTCTATGATCAGTGAGCACCTCAGTGCAATTAGAACAGTGATGTTCCAGAAGAGTTAGTTTAGATTAGTTGCACACATGGACAAAATGACCTTCAGATGTCATCTCCTAGATAAGTTTTATCCAAAGATAATCCAGTTCACACACTCCAAGACCATCCTGAGGGCTGAAGCATGCTAAATGGAGACAACCACCAGGGTCTCTTGAAAAGCAATTAAACAAAATGAAGACACATTAAGTACAGATCTGCTGAGAAAAAAACAAAGTTTGAATGACAAGGCATTAATTTATTAATTAAAATTAAAATCTGAGGATTCTTTAGTCCTTTCCTCCATACTTGTCTGAAGTAGTTCTGAAGCTTATGTTTCACAGAACTGTTCTAAATTATCGTCCTCTTTGCAATTTAAAAACATAGAAGTGGAGACAGACAGGTTATAGATCACTGTACAAATGAAATAAAACAGAATATAAACTTTTTCAGCTTCCTTGTGCTTTTTTTTTTGCCACAAATATGCAGCACACGTTTCATTTGGATATTCAGAAGAAAACCCCCAAAGGATTCAAGACTGTATCTATATGTTAGATTATTATTAGCAATGCATTCCTAACACCTCTTTCAGGAGGAAATTATTTTAGATATAAGATGCAAATATGTTTATAATATCTTTTCCTAAATCCTTGATTTCTTTGTGAATAGTTTTATCCAGACTTTACACTGGAAAGACAACCACAGGACTAAAAATGTGCTTTACCTTTAATTACAGCTTATAATGAATACTAATATGATAGTGAATGATATATAATACACTGGAAATAGTGTTCCAAATCAATCGTCTATGTTTTTATCTAACCAGCTGGCAATTTTAATTAGTAGTTTTCTCCTTTCAATATTTTCAAGTTTTGCAGATTCCAGTAGCATAGTAATAGCCTCTCTCTCATCCTCTTCCAAAGTAGCATTATAAAAAACCTGCAACTGAAGAAATAAACACATGAGCTTAATTCACAATTAACTTCACTTGTGGCAAGCAACTGCGTGCCTGACAGATGCTTCAGACAGAAGTGCACAGAAAAGGTGCAGATGACAGAGACTAAAGAGGAGGTGGGGCAAGGTTACTGATTTACACTTATGTGGGAAAGCTCCTTACATATCAAGAATGTGCCCTTTTTCTGTTCCTCTAAAAATCCTTTCAAATGCAGCCAACTTCACTGGTACTGGTAGTACCACACTGTCTAGGACTAGTTGGGTAGAAGAATCCTCTTTTTCTGCTTGTTCTACAATCACAGAACAAGAAATCTTTCTCACCAGTCTAGTAGGCAAAAGACAAGAGAGGAGTGCAGAATAGTAAATAAATATTTGGGGGAAGCAGTGATTGAACAATATAAGGGATTAAACAGATGTTAGTATGACAACATAACAGGCCAGCCACCCAAATGTTGGTACATTTTCAGTAGGTATCATGGCAGACGTTGTCTCTACAGACAGATTTCATAGAGAAAATGAGACAGTTTTGATAGAATTTGTGGGGGCTCTGCTCAAAACTTTAAGTTTCATGTTTAAAGAACATGTTTTTGTTCTTTAAGAACAAAAGAACAAAAACTTGTATTTACAAACTGGCCATGAAGTTGAGACTAAATGCTTCTCTAGTTTACCTCTTGGATCTGTACATCTGTTTTGACAAATCTTCCCATGGCTTTTAGTACATCATGCAATAATTCATGCCCATATCTGTAAAATTGAGATAAAGGTCCTTCAAATAGCACATTAGGAAATATACTAAATTTCATCGCATTTGAAAATACTTACACTATTTAGTGATTATTTACTATGCTGTATTGTATTGTGTTTTAATGGTTTCAAGTTTCTGTATCTGTTTTGCACTGGTTTGTTCTTGTACCCCTTATTTTCCCCACCAGTTCTGCCCCAAGCTACCCTTTTTCCTTAAATGTTAATCCCCTTCTCCTCCTCCTATGCCATTCACCTTCTCCCCGCCTATGCACCCCTGAAAAGTGCTGTGTCATTCCCCTGTCCCTTCCCTGGTGCCTTGTCCATCACTCGATTCCCCATCCCACTTCTCCAGAACCTTCTACCCTGGGCATCAAGTGACTGAGCGAGGACCAGTGGTCCCTCCTCTGGATTCCCCCTATTGGTCCGTGTATTTCTCTGTTCACCCACCTTCCACCCCCGTAAAACCCCTCATTAATTGTTGGGTGCTCTCAGCTGTTGGATTCCCTGAGGTGAGGAGCTCCAGGAGCCCCTTAATAATAAACCTTGGCCTGTTACCCCAGCCCTGAGTTGGCCTCTTCTTCTCCTCTTTGGACATTGCCTCTCCTCCACATCAGGGCTGACAGCGTCAGTGCTCAGCCCCAGCTGCTCCCAAACCTCCTGAGGCACACGGGAGTGTCCCCTGCAGCCAACTGTGCCAGGGCTGGTTGGGCAAAGCCAGGAGGCTTCAGGTGGGCAATGCTGCAAATACCATCTAAGCTGAAGTTTGCAACTATGGACTCTTTTCCCTCTTTTAAAGAACTACCATTAATATTCAATTTAGACATTTGAGCTGCATGAAATACAATAATAACCCTTCAATTTCATTTCCTAGAAGCATCTGGTATTTGTACTTTGGTAATATGAATTCTTTGCATGAAACAGATAATCTCTCTGAGGCCATACAGCCAAACTGAGCTAAAAAGACTAAGCAGTAATGTGTCTAACAAACTGGCGCTCCTGTTGCTATTGTGAGGGTAGCAAATAAATAAAGACTTGCACTATTCTTTTAGTTTGAAAATAAGGGAGCAATTTCCCAACAAATTTCTCATAAATTTAAAACACAGAAAAGCTCTGTAAGAGCACAAGTAGATATGACACAAATCTGCTGCAACTTGCCTTTTCTAGTGCTAGAAATAATTTACACATTTGAATGCTCCTAAATGGCTGATTTTGCTTCTGGATCACAATGACCTCCTCTGCCATCAAAAGCAGCTGGAATGTACTCTTGTCAGCAGCCTGCTGCTTTTCACAATTTCCAAGGAGAGAGGGAATCTTCAAACAAACATCAGAATACTTGCTTTGCTTAAAACAGATAGCCCAAGCTCACCTGCAGTTTACCTATAGCAGTTCAGGGGGGCTGGCAATAGGTTTAAGAGTTAAGTCAGGGAATAACACTGCAGTTGGTCCTAGCAGCTCTTGCATGTCTGCATGCTGTAATACCCCATCTCTTCATACTCTCTTTGGAAAAGAGGTGGGGGTTTTACTTCAGCATTTTACACCCACAATTTACACAATTTTCTTGTAAAATCCTAGTGGATAAACCCACTTCTAAATCAGAATTCCCAGGAGTACTTAAAAGTACAGAAAAACTCATGAACAGAGTAATTTTTAAAGTCTTTTGTGTTTGATGAACTATTTTTAAATCTAATTTAAACCCTGATCAGAGTTCAATCTTCTGAAAACTCTGTTCTGTATACTTAATTGAATCAGTCATTACAAATAGCCATCTCTGAAAGGAAAATCTGCACCTGAATTTTACAGCTCAAACATAGAGGAAGAAGCCAAAGAGCCACAAAAATTAAAGGAAGCCAAAACTTGTTGCTTACCCTTGACTTAAAAGTGACCAATTTTCCGTAACAAATTCCCAGGCTATACGGTGCCCAATATCCTTAGTCACTACATGTGAGATGATGACTGAAGTACAATTGGAAGAAAATAATGTGTCACTGAGTCCATATTGCAAGTATCTGTTAGAAAAGCAGGAAAGAAATGAACCCGTCACTTGCTGTTTTACAATGAAAATATACAATATTGCAATCTGGAAATACAATCCAGTTCACAAAAATTTCTACCTCAACAAATATCAGCATGTGAAGGTTATACCAAAGCTGGTGTCACTCTGAGCTGTGTATTCAGCTCGAGTTTTATCCTCAACATTTGTTCTTGCACACTGACTGTTCACTTAATAAAGTGAGGGTGCAGAATATCAAATGGACATAGATGTGTTTCTTATCTTTGCACCAGAAAGACAACTGCTCCTACCAGACAATCCTGTGGAAAGGCAGACTGCTTTTCACCTTCCGGCAATTCACTTCACTGTGACTCATATGAAGCTTACAGAGTATACCAGCAGTGAGACACTTTTACACAAAAACAACCTGTTCATAAGGTCCCCTGCAGCGAGGCTCAATTAGAAGATTTTTTCATAAGGACTAAGTATCTTCAAATTATGTCAGTGGCACTGAATGCCTGAACATCTTGAAAGGTAGTTATTCTCTTTGTTGCCTCAGTGTTTTACCTTGGATGCTCCTACTTCCAAATGAATCCTTTTAGAGTTATTTTCTCTGCTCCTTTACAGGTAGAGTAGTTGAGTTGATTTCTCCCCTTTGCATGCCACCACTATGCTTAACATAATGAACATAATTGTGAAGGCCAGGGAAAGATATCTTAACATTCTTCACCCCAAAGCACTCTCTGCATGGCATTTCAAAAAACAGGTTGGTTTGTCAGCTACTGCAGTACATGGAGGAGGAAGCTCATCACAACCCCCTGATTTATCATGGAATGGTGCTAGCCTGTTCTAAAAAAAAGGCAATAGGATCATAGGAAATTAGTTTAGCTGGTTGGCATCTCTTTGCAACATTTCTTATCTTACTCTCAGTCATATTTTTCTGTCTTCCCAAATGACCACCACACTAGAACAGGTGGCTGGAAGGACTATGATGTTACTTCCACACCTTTAGACCCATGGAGTTTATGTGAATGTTTGGATGATATCACTGCCAAAATTCCACCCCTTAACAAATGCTTTAGGTAATACACACATGACTAATTAAAGAATTTAACATCTTTTTACTGACAAAGATACAAATGCCAGTAAAAGAAAATAAACACAGTGTTACAAACTATGTTCTGGAAACTTTTGGACAAGACTCTTCAATATATGTCTTAACTTTTTGGTTGGCCCACATGGAGTGAGGACTTAAGACCTGATGACCTGTATGTTGTATTTGCAGAATGTTTGTTTATTTGTGTTTCTCTCATTTTTCATACTTGCTCCCTAACAAAACTCTTTAAAACACTACCAGTTGTTGACAAGACACATGCTTCTGTGGCAGGCAAACCTCTACCAGCTTTGCACAGTAAAATTTTTTTTTTTTATTATTTACTATTGTATTGCAATTTACTTCTACATACAATAAAGATATACTTTATTCAAGGTCACCTGTAAAGTAACCATGACTCTTTGGCACAACTCATGGCATAGAGCAGGATGTCTTCATCTTCCTCAACAGAGTCAGTATGGTTGTACATTTCCCATGCAAAATTCCATTCTTTATCACTTCCCACTGCAACACCATAGCAGCAGATTGTTCTTCTAATTAAAAAGGGGATTCTGCAAGACAAAATACACTTTAAAGGTACTGTACTGTTGTAGAGGCAAGCCCTATTAATGCGTAACTGAAATAAAATGTTTATTTACAGTTAAA